TCAAACCCATTTTCAAGAGAGTCATAACTAAATGCAGTTGTCATCCACTGTCATCCTTACACTATGTGAAAGTTAATAAATTCTCAATGTTACAAATGCATCGCAATCATGGTCTTATCATTGACTTATGTATGAGTTCCAAAATAAAACAAAATACATTGACTCTTTGACCCTACAATACACCTAAAACAATTTCATCTAGATGCTTTTAAAGAGATAATTAAAAACAAGAGATATTCTAAGATGTCCATCAAACGAAACTAGATTTGGCCATAACTTACCCCCAGTGTTAGAGATGGACATTGTCCTTAATGTGCAAAGGGAACAACTACAATTCCCTTCATGTGCAACATTTATGTGGAGATAATCACGTGAAGGCATGCATACTATTTGCTGTGTCCAATAGTCATTAGGAATCTAGTTTAAAAAAACAAAAAAACTATGCACCTTTCTTGGCCAACTTAGTGTGCATAAAAGAAATTATGGGTAAAACATAAACAACTAACATATAAAACAAAACCAAAGTTATCACAATTTAGTACATTAAATGAAAATTTAAAATAAATGCAAAAAAATAAAATAAAAAATTAAAGTAAAGTGTTTGGGTTGCCTCCCAAGAAGCGCTTTACTAGATTCGTAAGCTCGACTTTTTTTCTTTTCTTTTAACTCCTTCAATCCGGATCATCTAGGAAAATCGAAGCCCTTTTATCTTTAATGCCACCATGTAAAACCCCCCTCCAGTCAGGTATCCTCTGAATATCCCTCAATGAGAATCCTGAGGATACATGTCTGGAGAACGAGTTGTATTTAGAAAAAATCTGTGTAAGGATAATAATAATAATATCCAAAATATGCATATAAAATGTCACGCAGGATCCAAACTTATAATTTACAAACTTTAAGAAATTATACAATCAAAACATATTTAGAGGGTGGAAGCTTCCAAAGGTATTTCACAAATATTTATCATTTACATTATTTACATCAAGATAAAACATCGAGATGACAATAAATCATCTCCCCTCACGTTATCCCACCTGTCTCTAGCATCCCTCGCTTCTAGTCTACCTGCAAAACAATCAACAATGAAAGGGTGAGCGCTAATCGCTCAGTAAGGAATGATCCGTTTCATCTTAATGTACATTTGATCTTTATTTAAACATATTATTAACACATCACTTATCTTTTACATCTAGGGATACTTCCCCTTTTATTATTATTCATATGCTTTTCATCATTTTATCTCATGGCTAGGTAAACATCAATGTACACATACAAATAAGTTGTGAACATAGTACACACACGTCACATGTCGTGACATACCATCTAAAATCATCTACATGAGTATAAATCAGCTCATGATGTAAATAACATCATAACTCATGTAATGCAACTAAATGCATATGAAACATTTAACGTCAGCCGATCGGACCTTTCTTAGCATCTTAAGCACTTCATATCATCTAGCCTCAAATTTCATCTAGAGCTCATATCATCGGGAGGCGTGCTTACGCGTTATTTAGCATCTAAAGCATATATTCATCTTTCCTCAACCGATATAGGAGGATGCTTACGCGTTTTCCATCATGTCTATATGCATCTCTATCATGTCTATTTGCATCTCTAACATCTTATGGCATGTAAATACATATTTGGTGAGCTTATACTTTTAATCATCTATGGATTATCAATCCATTTACATTACCTCTTGCTCACATACATCATCTTAAAACATGTATTACATGCATCTTCATGCCATTTCATAACATTAATCATCATTGACATCATGACCATTTATATCTTTCAAAGATCATCTAACTAATGGGTAAACATTAGTACATGGCATACTTACAATAATCATTAATAATCAATTCATAATCATAATAATTGATCATGTAAATCTTAAACTCAATAACTAGTTTATACTTCAGGCCATTTTCCATCTATTTCTCAAACGAATTGGCTCCTGGCTAAACATAAAGTTACAGGTCTGTGTCTTAGCTTTCTAATGCTTCAAAATCATCTCATTTAGATTTTTATAACTCAAGTTATGGTCGAAATATTGAAGCAGGGTTAACAAAACCCCTAAGCCCACCAAATCCGAATTTTCATATTAACTATGCCACATCAATTCCTATTGCATTAACCAATAGGTTAACTTAAGATCAAATAACCTCCCCTTAATAGTCTTTAACATCTTAAAGGAAGTGTAAAATCTCATTCCCATAACCATCCATTATTGCTATAACATTGTAACTAATGCAAACAACACTCAACAACTTCTAATAGCAACCATTCAACACCATGTGGCCTCCATACTACAATTTTGCCACAATCAGCATCTACACTTCATTTTCTTCAATCAAACATAACACTCTAAACCTACATATCCCCAAACCTTCATGTATAATGAATTCAAGGCAATAAGTAGAATAAATGAGTTCAACTACACTTGCCATCAACTAATTCTATGCCTTAAAGCTTTAATTTAAGGTTTCATAAAAATCTACAAACCCTAGCATAAACCCTAAAGTCATGGGAGGTTCTTCCTTACCTTTTTAAAGACTTCCTCCAACAAATCCTTTGCCTTTGACTTCTTTTACACCTTAATCCTACATATATAACATTATACCTCAACATCTACTTCAAATCTTCAAATCACATCAAAACTAAAGTTTTTAATCCTTACCTTAAACCCTTCAAATTGAAGATCCAAGGCTCCTATCTTGTTCTCCTTGAAAAATTATGCAAAACTCCTTGAAAACCTAGAGAAAGAAAGCTTGTTTCATGGAAGATTTGAGAGAAAATGGAAGAAATGTTGAAGAAAGGCTCTCTCCTTTGGCTTGAACGAATTTCATCTCATTTATAGGAAAATATTTCATTTATTTTCCAAAATTATGCAATTGGCCCAATTATTTTAATTGTATAACTCATAAGTCCTTAATTCTTCATATAAGGGCATTTTGGTCATTTCACACTAGACATAATTATTACTTAATTAATGCCATTAAATGCAATGAAGCCTACTCATCCTTGACTTTTTCAATGCTTATCCATAAGCAAAGTAACCATTTTGCCCCTAAGCCTCTCTATGGATAATTGATTCATACCATTCCAAATGAATTGACTATTTTGCCCTTAGTTAGATTTTATGCTTTTTAACATAAAATTAACATCTAAAGGACTATTTTGAGTTAGGAACATACCTTTGATATCTTGGGTATTACACACCATTTACATAAAGCTTCAATTGCTCTATTTCCCTCTTATTCTCAATTTTCTCCTCCAATGTCCTAAAATCGACTACACTAGTTCTTAGGGGTGGACAAGGGTATTTTTCTTCTAAGGTTTCAACTACTTTGTCATCAAGGATGCTATTCTCAAAACACGTATCTACCTCAGATGGATACTTCATAGCATAAAAAACATTAAATTCTACTTGTTCATCCTCTACCCTTGAGATTAGCTTTCCTTGGTGAACATCTATCAAAGTCTTAGCCGTAGCTAGGAAAGGTCTTCCTAAAATTAGAGGTACTTCCTGATATTCTTCCATATCAAGCACAATAAAATCTACCAGGAAAATCAATTTATCTACTTTTATTAAGACATCCTCTACTACTACCTTGGGATATTTTATAGACCTATCTACTAATTGAAGATGAACAGTGGTTAGTTTTACTTCCCCTAGGCCTAGTTTCTTATAAATTGAAAACGACATAAGATTTACACTAGCACCTAGATAACGTAAGACCTTATCAAAATGAACACTACTTATTGTGCAAGGAATTGTGAAACTCCCTGGATCTCTGAGCTTTTGTGGTAGTTTCTTCAATAGCAATGCACTACACTCTTTCGTAAGCATTACTATCTTATGTTCTTCAAACCTTCTCTTCTTGGTGATAATCTCCTTTAGAAAATTCACGTACTTCAGCATTTGCTCTAACATGTCTACAAAAAGAATGTTAATGTGTAAAGTTCTAAACATATCCATGAACTTGCCAAATTGCTTGTCTAATCTCTTTTCTGCTCTCTGTGAGGATACGGAAAGGTCGTCTCATCATTCGTCGCAACATGGGGGTTTTTGTCAGATTATGCCCTTGTGTCGTGGCACTCTCAATTCTATCTTTTGTTGTTCCGTGGCACTCTTGGTTCTGGTTTCTTCTATGCCGCGACATCTTGGTCCACTTTTTCCACTTCGAGTTCTTGACCTTTGTCTCTTTCTTTGCTTGATTCTGTCAACTCCTTACCACTTATCAGCATGATAGCATTGAGTTGCTACTTTGGATTCTTCTCGGTATCACTTGGAAACGTTCCTTGAACTCTTCCTGCTAAGATACTATGTATTTGTCCCACTTGAGTCTTAAGGTTCCTTATGGAAGCGGATTGATTTTGCAACAAGACTTCATATTTTTGAAGTTGAGCTTCATTCTTGTCAAATCTTTTACTTGATTCCTCCATAAACTTTGTAAGCCCATTCTCTATGTTGGATTTCTTCTTTTGAGCTTGGAAACCCGGTGGTGGTTTGTGCTCATTGATATTGCTCCACGAAAAGTTTGGATGATTGCGTCATGTTGGAGTGTATGTGCTAAAGTACGGATTCCCTTGCCCTCGTTGAAAATTGTTGATGTAATTTGCTTGTTCCGGCTGAACAAATGAATTCCCTTCTTGACAATCCTTGGACAAATGATTCCCTACACAAAGTTCACAAGTTAGAGAGATGATTCAATAGCATTTACCTTTAAGGCAACTTCCAATTGCTTTTGGATGGTTGATAGTTGAGCAGCCAATGCGGAGTCTTCAACTTCGTGCACTCCCACAACTTTCCTTGTTGAATTTCTCTCTAAAGGCCTCATGTGGTTATTGCTTGCCATCACCTCAATCAAATTAAAGGCTTCCTCTGATGTTTGTCATTCAAAGCTCCCCCATTTGTAGCATCTACCATAGCTTGTATATTTGGCATCAACCCATTGTAAAATGTTTGTACTTGCGACCATATTGGTAACCCATGGTGAGGACACCTCCGTAAGAGGTCCTTATACCTCTCCCAAGCATCATAAAGTGACTCCATATCTTGTTGGAAAAAATTAATGATGTCACTCCTCATCTTGGCGGATTTGACCGATGGGAAATATTTCATAAGGAACGCTTGAACTAACTTATTCCAAATAGTAATGCTTCCAGGTAGTAGAGAAATCAACTAAACCTTAGCTTTATCTTGAAGAGAGAATGGGAAAAGCCTTAGCCTAATTGCATCATTGATACCCTATTATGTCTAAATGTGTCGCATAGCTCCAGAAATTTGGCGATATGCAAGTTAGGATCATCACTAGATAACCTTGCGAATTGTACCGAATGTTGTATCATCTAAATAATGGTAGGCTTGATATCAAAGTTATTTGTTTAAATCGGTGGTCTCCTAATACTAGAAGCACATCCCTCAATTGTAGGTCTTGAGTAATCCTTAAGTGAACTTCTTCTCCTCCTATATCTGCCATTGAACTTAACTCCTCTGTATAGTCCAACACCAAAAATATAGAACTAAAAATTAAAGCACTAAAAACAAAAAAAAATTAATACAAATCAAGTTAGCAACTAGATATCTTGTATTGATATCGATAATATAAAAGCAATTCCCTAGCAACGGCAGAAAAAACTTCTTGTGATACTATCTAATTACTATTTGATTAATCACAATTTTTATCAAGAAAAATCTAAATTAAAATAAAGAATTGAAATTGAATAAAAAAAAAAAAACTGAAAAGAAAACAACTAAGTAAATCTTCGGTTTTAATGCAAGATGACTAAACCTAGGGCATAGATTTCACACCAATTCTTATTCCTATGTATTGTAACTTATGCTAATTTCATTAAGCTCCTCCTACAGATCAAACTTCCTAAATTTCCAATAATTTTCTTTCGAACAATTATTAAATTAACCCCTAATTACTAACCCGAAGTATCTCTAATTAGATTTAAGCAATTGGAGGTCATTACGTTCTATGGAGTTTACCAAAACCTCGCAAGTCATAGTAAACTATCTCTAGCATTCGCTCAACCTATGATTTTACTACTGTAGACCAACTAAGTATCATCTCTCGATCTCAATCTAGTCCATTAGTTCATTCAGTTCTTGGGCCCTTAAGAATCAAAAGCACTAGGCATAATAATAAAACTTAGGAAGAAATCTTAATAAAAATCAACATAAATAAATCAACACATAATCAAGAGATTGGGCTTCATCTTAGCCCTAGAAAATAAAATTAGTTCATAACAATTATGAAAGAAACAATCATCTTTATAAAAGTAAAAATCATGAGTTTAAGGAAGAATAAAGAAAAACTTCTCTATGATTTTGCTCCAAAAGCTCCAGAAATTCTGATGCTTTTCTCTTTTCTTCTAATAGTTTTCCTTTTGATCTCTCCAAAAAAAAAAAAAAAAAAAAAAAAAAAAAATGCTGAAAGAGTTATATTTATATCCCATAAAGGTTAGGGTTTTGTTTCTTAATTCTACTCAGTTTAGGACTCCTAAACCCTATTTTCATAGTCAAAAATAGAAAATAAAAATCCAACTATCATGAGTGTGCCACGACATGGTTGATTCTGGAATTTTATGTGCCGCGGCATGGTGTCAAGTCCTCTTCTTTAGTTCAAATCTTGCATCATTCCTCAACAGTCTAGAGATGGTTATTTTTTTAGCATGATAACGTTCGAATCTAGCCTAGTGATAACATATGAAATGTAGCCCTTCAAATCATCTTTCCAACGGTTCAAGAATCATTACAATCCAAGGTCTACAGCTTGGGTTATCTTTTAAATATTGAAGCTTGTTCAAACTGAAGCGTAATCTTGAATCTTCTCTTTAACTTCAAAACTCCATAACTTCTTCAATTCAACTCCGATTCTTGATCCGTTTGTTTCTACTTGTTACAGATTCTGTTGCTGACATGATTCTTCATTCTAGCATAACATTTAGCATTGATAACCTGAAAACACTTTAACACACCTATGATCCCATAAAAGACATTTGTGAAATAATTAAGCAAAATTACTCAATTTAAACCTAATTTCCCATAAATAATCATTATAAACCATGTAATAACTCTTTCTAGCTAGTAGACTTTGGAAAATATAATATGAAGTCACTAAATATGTTATAAAAACATATAAGTATATAAGTAGAAGATAGTGGGCCCAAAAATTTCTTCACTTTTATATACTAAATTCCTTACAACAACAAAAGTATCATATTCATAATCTCAACATACAAAGGACAGTAGTACCATTCCCCTCCGCTTCTCGACGTTCCATCCGACCGCTTCTCACCTATTTCCAGCAAAAACATTGAAAACAACGGGGTAAGAACTAGTTGCTCAGTAAGTAAATCCGCTATGCTATTCTTCTATCTCTGTTGCTCGTATTCTGAATTTCTTTCCTTACATCACACTTCTCTATTCTTTCTCTGTTTCTAATTTCTCTGTACTCATGATAGTAGGCATAGTATCATGCTTAGGTATGAATGCAAATGCACAAATGCATAGGATGTGCATTTTCTTTTCTGTTTTTCTGCTTTCTTATTCTGTTTTCTCTCGCTTTTTCTATGTTTCTTTCTTTCTTTCTGTTTCTCTTCTTTCTTTCTGTTCTTTCTTTTCTTTCTATTCTCTCTTCTCTTTCTATTCTTTTTTTTCTTTCTTATTCTTCTCTTTCTATTCTTTTCTTTCTTTCTTTCTTATTCTTTTCTTTTCTTTTCTTTCTTTCTTATTCTTTACTGATCGGACTTGGTTGAGGCATGGATTTGGAACCCTGGTCATGTGAGTAAGTACAGTCCTCATCTACATGCACTTCTTACGGACTGTACAAATTCTTCTTCTTCTTAGGCCTCTCACTAAAGGCGGTGTGCATGTAGGTATGTTCTTCTGGGTACAGTCCTCATCCACATGCACTCTTACGGACTGTACAAATTCTTCTTTCTTATTCTTTGGTCGTTCATTGAAGGCAGCGTGCATGCGGGAAAATTCTTTTTGTCGCTCACGGGTTCCCCATCGCAATAACCTCCTCTTCTCTTATATCTCTTTTAGAAATTAGTATTAAATTTCTTTTCTTTTCTTTAATAATTCTCTTTTCTTTCTTTGCTCTTCAATATTCTTATATACATGTATACATGTAGATGGGCTTTTCTTATTGTTCTTTCTTAATTCAAATGATTAAATGCAAAAATGCAATATGGCATGTAAACATGTCATTCTCTACTTTCTCTACCATCTACAAACTCATATCAAAAAGATAGATCAACATACTCATACATGCACTTCTCTATGAAATTTCATCAAACACTTTGTATGCACAAATAAAGTACTAAGGTGATTACACTTCCATAACAATCTCTAACCACCAAAATTTTAGAGCAAAGCTCCCTAAAACAACTCCAAATCTGGCCAAAAAAATACACTCCATAACTCTACTCAAATTCTTTCTTAGCTTATCCAAACTTCCATCAATTTGTATAAACACAATCATCACTCCTCATGTTGGAATTCTAACCATGAATCATCATCAATTCCATCAACAAATCTCAACACTCAAGCATGTAAAATACATATAAAAATTTCTCTACACACATTATTGCTCAAATCAAGGGCTAGGGTTGGATTTACTTACCTTTAACTTGGGTAGTTCCACACTAGAATTTCTCTCTTTGGTAGACTTCCTCTTCCTCTTAAACCTTAAGCATATAAACTATAAGAATTCAACACTTCAAAAATTAATCTCACATCTTATTGCTAGAATTCTTACCTTTGGATGCTTAGGATTGAATATCTACCAAAATCCAACCAAAAATCCTCTAAATTGCCTTGGAAATTTGATGAAGAAATTGAGACAATTTGGGGATGAAAGTGGTGTGTGAGGGAGTAGAGAATGGTAGGGTTTTCATTCTTGAACCCTTAATATCTCATTTATTACTTATACTTTCCCATTTTGTCCTTGTACTTTCTATGAAATTCCATCTTTACCCTTTAGTCAATTACAATAATGCCCTTATTTCCATTGCATTCTTCATGAAATTCTACTACTTTTCACTCACCACAGTTTCAACTAATTATGGGTAGAATTACCAGTTTACCCTTAAGGAAGTTTTCCATAATTTTCTCAAAAATTCCAACAAGTTCTTTCCCCTGGCGAAGCTTTTTCTTCGCCTCAGCGAAACATTCCAGAGTGTACGTTGTCGTGGCGAACTTTCTTCCTTGTCATGGTGAAGACTGCAATTTTAAGAACTCGATTTGGGCAGTGTGTACAATGCCGCGGCGACAAAACTCCTTTGCCGCAGCGAAGTCTACAAATTCTAATTTTCAATCTTTCAAATTAAAATAAATAAAACTAAGGGTATTAAAGCATAAATAAGTTACCTCACTGTGGGTCTTACAATAAACCACTAAGTAAATAAGTATTTTCAAGCTCTTATCAATTACAACGACCGTGAATCTATTGCCACAATGGGACTAAGTTGTTGCTCGAATCCAATTTTTGTCGTTGATCTAATAACAGAATGCTAACATGTCAAGCTAATATATTTGAGTTGACACTACTATTGTACTTCAAACCTTGATGGGATAACAACTGATGAAGGGATTGAATTGCACAATAATCATTCAATTGTTAAGTATCAGTTCTTCGCTGATCCTTATATGTTAAATAACCATGACACCTTGCTAGAGGCCAATCTTGGTTTATCTGTAGTGAGAGATTAATAGGTGGTTAATTGCATTACTACTTACTACCAACATTATAGGGAGCCTACAGATCACATACTTAGAAGACAGTTTAAGGTTTGTAATGAATGAGGGCAATTTCGTCATTTTTGGTGAAAGGGTGATTTCGTCTTTTTGGCGAAAGAGTATTTGGGTAATTTTGCTATGCAATTAAATTTCCTGAGGTTGCTGTCTAATCCCAATATTTATATTGGAGTTTAATTTTCGAATTTGTATATTTATATAAATATAAATATTAACTAATTAATTGGTTATTATTAATTAATTAAATGCCAAATTAATTCTATTCCAAGTAGGAATTGGAATTAATTAAATACCAAGATAAGTCTATTCCAATAAGGAAT